AGAGCTATGGTTGTGACCCCAGCCGTGAAGCCGGTCCCCGTTTTCTTACCCCAGGTCTGGACCTCTGGAGCAGTGCTGCTCTGACCAGGTGTGTTAGGCAGCACCAGTTAGATGGGGGGAGGGGGGACTTCACATAGTAAATGGAAAATGCCATTCTCCTGAAACTAAATTTCTCAGAGATGGATCCATTCTTTTCTTCTTTTCTTTTTCTTTTTCTTTTTTTTTGGGGGGGGGGAGAAGTTTTTGCTATGGGGCGCGTGGGCTTGCTAGAAAGACAGAGACAGAGAGACAGAAAGCAAGAAATCACCCCCCAGGGAGAATGGCCACGCCACAATCCCTTCTCCTCTATTCTCCCAGCGTGAGTTTAAGCCACTGGGTCTGGGACTCGAACTGCAGTCAACTACATGGGAATCCAGCAACATAGCCATTACGCTAACTGCTGGTCGCATAGAAATGGACTCACTCTTTATAGGAAAAAAACAGGCTATGTAACATTTCAGAGGCTTTAAGTTTTTTGAATATATTATACACAAGGTTTATGTTGGAAACAGAGGAAAGGGATACTTTTTTTTTGAGGGATTTTTTGCTATAGGGTACATGTACTTTCCAGAGTGACTGAGACAAACAGAGAAACATAAACCAGAAACCACCCCCGAGGGAGTTTGTTCACACTGCAATCTCTTCTCCATTCTCTTCTAGGGATTTTGAGCACACGTGCACACATGCCCAGTGTGGGCTTCAAGCAGTCGGGACTGGGACTCGAACCGTGGTCAAACGTAGGAGTCCAGTGCCTATACCACCTGCTGGCCCTGGAAAGGGATAGTTTTTGATACAAGTGGATGGATTACGTTGCATTCTAGTCATTCAGTTTAAACAATTTGTAAGTTTATATATGTATTATGTAAGACTAAAATATTTCTGTAATTTGCTTTATTTATTTTGAGGTAAATGTCTAAGCCATAGTGTAGTTCAGTGGTAAGTAAAGCAGGGCAGGTAATGATGGGGACACAGTTGGAGTACTGCGTACATTCATGACAGTTGTCCACAGACACAGCAAAGAAGGAGGCGTTGAGAGCGGCCGCGGGGAGGGGGCTGTGCATGGAGAGCTGGGGGCGGGGGCCCGCCCCGGCCCCAGCCAGTGGCTACCTGAGCTGGAGCCTGCGTGGCCCACCACAGGCACGCCCTGACCCAGCAGCATGGACGGACACCCTGACTGCACTCTGAGCATGCCCACATCCAGACAGGACCGAGATGGCGGAGGGTCGCAACGTGCCCTGTCCTGTCTGTGAGTGGACATACTCTCTGGCAATTAAACAGAGGGGATAAGAAAGGAGGTGGGCATTTCAATACATTCTCAATGAGCAAAATTCAGCAAAAAATGAATATAAAAATGATTATTTTTCAGTTATGAGACAAGTTACAGTAACTATGTTATAATTGCAAATAACGGGTGAGTTTGCAAAAGTTTAATTACATCTTAATGAATTCCTAAAGACTTTCTTTAGTGCTACTATATTTTTTTCTGTGTGTGATTTTTAGTAGAAATAACATGCTCTTTGTGTATTAACTGGACTGCTTGGGAGGATAGTAAATGGTTCAATATTGACTAGAGTAATAGAGGAGCATTAAGATCTATTTGTATTCGCTAATAATCATTCATTTTCAGATACACAGGAGGACAGAGGTGGGATGTTTCAGTCTCAGCAATACCACAATGTCTCCGTCATATCATTATCACTCTGTCGGTTTCCCCATAGGGCACACAGAGAGACAGAGAGAGACAGTGCAAGGCAGAGTGAGAAACCTCCCCGGGGGTGGCCACGTTGTAGTACCCTCTCCTCTGATCTCCTCCTGGGATCTGGGGCACACACACACCCGTGCTCAGCATGACTTCCATGTAAACCGCTGGGTCCAAGACTCGAACCTCAGTCTGCCATGTGGGAATCCAGCACCTTATCCACCATGCCACCTGCTGGTCCCTACAGTGTAACACTTTTTGTTTCCTTACATACCCTTTTTCTAGAGCTGGATGCTCTTGAAAGCCAGCAAGAAAGTTTAAACTAATGTACGTTCCTCTTCTAGAGGCCTCTCTCAGGGCCCTGAGGGAGGCATTAGCAATATTCTTGTGGTCTTATATTTTGGTAAAATTTGCAAAAGATATTTTAACTGCAATTGATTTTAGAAAACTCTTTTTGTTGACTTTTTCTCCTTCACAGTTCTTTTCTTGTCAGGTAATACTGAAGTGACCATGGGTATATTTTAGATTTGGCTCAAAGGAAGTTAAAATACGTATACATTTAGATTTAATTTGGATTTAGTGGGGTATATAAATGTAGTTTGTAATCAGGTCTGTGCGTGTGGTCAAATTATTGCTAAATGTCTAATAGAGAAATGCACATTGAAATATTCCTATTACTGGGGCCAGCAGGTGGTATGGTGGTTAAGGGCACTGGACTCCCACTGGCCAACTGCAGTTTAAGTCCCGGATCTGGTGGCTTGCTTTCTCACTCCCCCTCTCCCCTTCCCTCTCAGGTCAAATTAAAATAAATAAATAAAATGAAATAATATAGTTCTTTTTAAAAAAATAAAAAAGAAACGTTTGTACTACTTGCTGTAATCAATCGCTGAGCTTGAAATCTCGATGTAAACGTGTATATGGTACCCAGCCCCGGGTATGTGGGAAGTAAAGGAGAAACAGAATCAGAAGCTAATCTGTGGAGCTTTCTCAGAGCAATATCTGAATTATCTTTCTGTTATCTCTGTAACACATATTAAAAAATTATTATACGAAAAGATTATTAAAGACCTTGGAGTCCCAAAATGCAGGAATGAAACATTTTAGGCACATCAATGAATTGGGGAGATATCTGTTATTTTCTAAGTCCTGTGAGGTTTATGGTATTTGTCATTCAGACATATAATTTGTTACCATTTCTTATTCCATTCTAAATATTCACTTTGCATCTGATTTAATGTTTACAATTTCGTAATGTTTCATCTTTTTTTTTTCTTTTTTTGGGGAGGTTTTTGCTATAGGGCACGCGCGCTCGCCAGAGAGATAGAAAGCGAAAAATCACACCCCAGGGGGGATGGCCACACTGCAATCCCTTCTCCTCCATTCTCTCGGGATCTTAGGCACGCATGCACACGCGCCCAGCGCAAGTTTAAGCCACTGGGTCCAGGATTCGAACCACAGTCGACTACATAGGAGTCCAGCCACATAGCCATTATGCTAACTGCTGGTCCCATACTGTTTAATTTTCTATGCCAATTTGACTATGCTAAGGATGGCCAGATAGCCAGTAAATGATACCAAGTCATGTTTGAGAGGGTGTTTTGGGAAGAGATTAGTTTGTTTTCTTGTTTTCATTTTGTTTGTTTGTTTGTTTTTGTTTCTTACTTTGCTATAGTGTGTGCACGCTCACCAAAGAGAGACAAAAAGGTAGAGAGAGAGGGTGAGTGAGGAACTTCTCCCTGGGGTTTGGCCATGCCCAGTCGCCTCTCATTCTCCTCTCAGGCACACACCAGAGCCAATGTGTTTTCAAGCTGCCATGTCTAGGACCTGAACAGCACAGGCGGCCACGTGGGATCCAATCACCTTAACCTCCACGCCACCTGCTGGTCGAAGATCAGCCTCTGAATCAGTCCAGTGACTAATGAAGTCTCTCACAAGTGTGGACAGGTGTCACCCGCCACCGTCACCCAGTAGATGGCTAGAATAGAGCAGAGAGACGGAGGATGGGCTGGTTCACTTTCTCCTCTGGGCAGGGAGGAGATCTTCTCTCTTCTCCTGCCCTCAGGCAGTGCTCCTGGTTCTCATGTCTTACGACTGGGACTAAAATTACCCTGCTGGCTTCCCTGGGCCTCCAGCTTGCAGATAGCAGCTCTTGAGACTCCTTAGCCTTCATCATCGTGTAAGCCAATTCCCATAATAGATCCTGTGTGTGTGTGTGTGTGTGTGTGTGTGTGTGTGTGTGTATTTGTTCTATTGGTCCTGTTTCCCTAGGAAACTTTAATATATATTTCATGTTTTTTTTAAATAAGGTTCCCCACACTGAATAAACATTTCAAAAACCCAGATCTCCATTTGTTATATATTCCTTGTTTCAAAAAAAATTTAAGGGGAGGTCAGCCGGTGGCATGGTGGTAAGGGCGCTGGACTTCCGTGTGGTTGACCATGGTTTGAGTCCCAGACCTGGCAGCTTGCTTTCTCCCCACCCTCACTCTGTCCCTCTCTGGTCAAAGTTAAATAAATAAATACAATAATTCTTTTAAGAAAAAGGTTTAAGGTGTCTTCCCAACACAATAATTATGGTGCTTTTATTTGTAACCCATTTAGCCAAGAGGCACAAAATTTGTTCTTTAAAAGAGATTTTTGCTATAGGGTATGTGTGTTCACCAGAGAGACAGAGACAGAGAGACAAAATGAGAAATCACCTCTTGAGGGGATGGCCACACTGCAATCCCTTCTCCTCCATTTTCTTCTCAGGATTTTGGGCATGCACGCTCGGTGTGAGTTTTAAGCTGCTGGGTCCAGGACTTAAACTGTGGCTGGCTACGTGGGAGTCTAGTGACATAACCATTACAGCATCTGCTGGCCCCCAAATACTTTGTAAAAACAATCTAATATCAAGGAAGGCGTGAGGGGAAGAAAGAGAGAGAGGGACCCCTATCTACAGAAGGTGTGACTGCATGAGGGATGCACCCGGCTTTGCATTTAAACAGATAAGCCCTACTTTCATCATTCATGAACTATGAGCCAAGTTAGTTCATCTCTTCACACCACAGTTCTCTCATTCATACAATGGGGAAATACCAGCAACAGCAAGATTACGAAGAAGACATGACAGCGTGTGTCCTGGCAAGCCTGGCACACGTAAGACAGTTAATAAAAATGTAAAGCCCTTCATTCTTGAATGCGTAGTCCACGTTATATTCCCTGAAACAGCCTTACTAATATGCAGAAAAGAAACGATTACGTTTTCCTGCTCTCTCGACAGCATTACGAGCAGCACAACATATGTGGGAAGTTCATTTCTTCTTCTGTCAAGACATGAAGCTGAGTAAGGTGCAAAAATATGTCATCTCCCATGCGAGCGGAAGTCATCGGATATCTGTTGTAGAAGAGCTAAGAGGTGGAAAGGGGTAACAAATTTAAGAATCTGTAAAAAGTTATGTTATAAGGTCACAAAAACAGGGTTTTGTACCTAAGTTAATGAGTTTATTTCAAAGCCAAAGCGGTTGTTTTGGTATTTGTCTCTACCAACTCCTGTTTTTCAAAGGTGTCTGAGCACAGTAGCTCAGGAATATCTAAACCGAGTGGCAGGGTTAGAAGTAGCTCAGAAGTCAGCTCAGAGTCCAGGCGTCTCCCAGACAGGTCTGCCCTTCACAGCTGGGATGGTACAGGCAAGAGGGGTGGGGCTCCTGCAAGAGGCACCATAATAACTAGCAAGGGGGCAGCACTTACTGCAGGAAAATCAGCCAGGCCTAGGGCACGAGAGGCTTAGTATTAAGCAGAAGAAGCAGTGGTTGGAACGCCGTAGAGTAACTGGAGATGTCTCAGTGCCCTGTCCGTCAAGGACTGTGCATGCACCCTGCTTACCCTCGTCTGGAGGGCTACAGGACCTACAGAACAGGACGGAAGCAGGAACGCTAGGGACACATGCTTTCCGCCAGAGCTCTCTGCAGAATGGGGCTCGACTTCCTTTTCTTGCCGGAGGATTAAAGGCGACCTGAGTCTCCAGAGACATCTGAGTCTGTCTTCTTTGGTCTCAGACTCCAGAGCACTGTGCTCAGACCATAGAGTATGAAACGCTGGCTGAACAGAGCAGACGGGTTCTGACTGACCTGCCTGGGCTCCCCTTTGCTCCTTAGCCAGCTCAGCCGTCCACCCCGCCCGCCCACTGCATCTCTGCGTAAAGCATCGGGCACGTCTGCGAGACACCGGGATGTGGGGTTAGCCTCTGAGCTACTGCTAATCCTGTCTGGTTTTCAAGTTTCCTGATCTACTGTGCTCAGATGCCTTTGAAACCCTACGATCTCCGGGCTGTAGGGGGCATTACAGTTACTCTGTCTTCTCTCACTCGCTCTCTTTTTAAATAATTATTTCCTTTTTTTAAATTTGCTATAGAGCATGTGCACTCGCCAGAGAGAGTCAGTGAGATAAAATGGGAAAGTGAGAAAGCAAACCACCAAGTCCAGGTCTGGAACCGCAGTCGGTCACGTGGGCATCCAGTGCCTTGACCACCACACACCTGCTGACCCCAGTCTTCTCTTCAGTGACACAGAACCCATTGCTACAACATCCCCCGAGGAAAGGTCACGGACCCCTGCTCTCTGCAAAAGACGGTCCGTCCCTCCAGCTCTCGTTTTAGAAGGCCTGTCCCTGTTGTCACATCACGGCTCCTCCCTGCAGTGCTCCCCACTAGCCATGTCACCTCCTTAGACTTCCCAAATGTACCCCCATTTCCTTCACAGATAGCCCTTTGACACTTCTGATCACACACAGACAGGAGCACATGCACAGAGACCATCGCACCTTCAGCCTTCCTCACGGAGCCTAACATCAGGGTGCTTTAAAGCACGTCTGCCTCAGGATAGAACTCGGTACACTCCTGGGACCAGCAGTTGGCGTAATGGCTATGTCACTGGAGTCCCATGTACTCGACTGTGGTTCGAATCCCAGACCCGGTGGCTTAAACTCACAACAGGTGAGTGTACATGTGTGCCCAAGATCCCGAGAGGAGAATGGAGGAGAAGGGATTAGGGGGTGATTTCTTGCTTTCTGTCTGTCTCTGTCTTTCTGGCAAGCGTACATGCCCTATAGCAAAAACTTTTCCAAAAAAAAGAGCCCGGTGCAGTCCTTCCCCAGTTCTCACTCATTTCACTGACCCGTGTTCAGTGGCCTCCATGTGACAAGGAGTGTGGTGGGGCTAGTTGCCCAGGATGCAAAGGCAATCAAACAGCTCCATAAATAGATGCAAAATCGCGCTTTGCGGAGTGCGCCAGAGTGACAGGTGCCACACAAGGACACGATGGGAAGGACCCAGGTGGGACATCAAAATCTGCCCTGGGGAGTCTGCACTGAATTGCGGTCTAAAGCAGATGTGTACTGAGGGAGACGGTGAGAGGCCACAGCAGCAAGCGAGAGCAGCAGGGACAGGCTAAGTGGGAGGCCACGTGGAGCCGGGGTGCACAGAACGAGGGGCCAGGGCAGCAGGCTCCGGGAGGAAGGAGCGGACCTCTCTCAGAGCCGCCAGGATGGGGAGCTTCGGCTTCATCCCGAGCAAGTAGGAGCCAAGGAGAGAGCGTGAGCACAGGGTTAGGCTGTGGGCCTGGGGATGGGGTCGGGGCGGTGGTAGGTCAGCTTCTCCTTACACGACCCCTGGCTATGCTCAGGGACACTGAAGAAGCGGCCATGACGGTACTTTGGGCAAGAAGTAAGGATGGTCTTTCTGGCAAGCTTAGAATCGATAACGAGCACTTTTTTTTTTTTTTTTTTTTTTTTTTGAGAGGTTTTTGCTATAGGGAGTGTGCGCTCGCCAGAAAGACAGAGAGACAGAAAGTGAGAAATCCCCCCCCCGGGGGAATGGCCATGCTGCAGTCCCCTTCCTCCATTCTCCTCCTGGCATTTCGGGCATGCATGCACATGCACCTGGTGTGACTTTCAAGCTGCCAGGACTCGAACTGCTGTCAGCCATGGGAGAGTCCAGAGCCCTAACCACTACGCCACCTGCCGATCCCTTTCTTTGACTGAGGCAGAGGGGATTGGAGGAGAAATCCTTAATTTTTACAATGTTTTGCAGAGCAGGTATAAGAACTGAATGAAGAACTAAGTTTTTAAAGTTCAATTAAATTTAAATACATATTTAACAACCCAGTTTCAAGGTTAGCATTTGTTAAGAAATAAAACAGGAAATAAAAATCAAGTCACCCTGTTAGAAGTAGAGGGGTCGGCAGGTGGCGTAATGGTTAAGGACTCTGACTCCCGCGTGGCCAACTGTGGTTCAAGTCCCGGACCTGGCTGCTTGTTTTCTCACTTTCTCTCTCTCTCTTACCCAATCCCTCTCTGGTCAAATTAAAATCAATAAAGTTAAATAAAATAATTTTTTAAAGAACTAGAAAAATTTCACTGAAGAGAAACTTTACAATAGCCTCCAAAACAAATTTGATTCTAATTCATAATTAAAGAGCAGCTACAGTGCAGGATTCCCAGCCTCTCTCTTCTGACCGGTCATCGGCTTCTGCTCTCACAGGTGAGCAGAGGAGAGAGGGCCGTGCAGACGGAGGACAAGGCTCAAGAAGGGGACTCCCTGTGCCTCGGTCTTCCCTCAGGGTTATTTGTCGCCGACAGGGTGGCCTTGGACCAGAGTGTAGGGCCCTCTGCTTGCTGGTCCCATGGGGCGTTTCTCCCTCTCTGTTTAAGGGTTGACAGCGCTGAGCCGAGTCAGACACACCCAGTCTTCTCTTTTTTCTTTTAATTGCCAGACGGTGCACGTGTTTGCCCAAGAAAGGGAGAGGGGGAGGGGGAGGGCGCCCTCCAGCGTGGCAGGGTCGCACCAAAAACCTCTTCCCTCCACTTCTGCATACCCTGCTGGGATTTGGGTTGCACAGATGTGGCTGATGCCACTGGGGGTGCGGGGAAGGGGCCTGCACCCTGGCTAGCCACGTGAGACCCAGCTCCCTTAGCCACTAGGCTGTGGAGCCGACCCAGACAAGTCCAGTGGTCGCCCCAGCACCGGCATAACGAGCTGGGTCCTCTGGGCGAATTCCTCAGCCTCCGTAGCAGTTCCGCTGCTGTGAAATGCATTCTTCTCCACAGTTGCCTTAGACCACACCTGCCTCTGCTTCCTGAAGATGATCCCCCTATTTTTACCCTCTCTCGTCCTGCCAGCGTCGCCTCCAACCTCCCCCACAGCTTCTCTAACCGTTACGAAGTCCCCTTGATTCAGTTATGTGAAGTCACCACCCATGTGACAGATTTCCACTTGGCGCTGGAGCTGAGATAGCAGACAAAAAGATTCACGTTTCCAGCATTAGAGTGACAAAGGTTTTCTTGGGCCAGCACGTGGCATGAAAGTTAAGGCATTTGATCCCACATGGCCACCTTCACGGTTCGAGTATCAGACCCAGCTGTTTGAGACTCACACCAGGTGCACGTGTGTGTGCCCCCGTCCCAGAAGGTGCACCGAGAGGTGGCTGTGGGACGGCGTCCCCTGGGCGTGCTTTCTCGCTTTCTCATCCTCCCCCTCTCTGGCAAGAGCGCACATTCTACAGCAAAATAAAGGGTCTGGTGGCGTGGCAGGCCTCGGCCTCAGCCTCCCAGCTGTGATGACAGGTTCAGTTCACGATGCCTGGTCTTGGAGACAGGGTCGGCAGGCCACCGAGAGCTCAGTGGGGGGAGTGTGGACTGTGGGGGGAGAGCCGAGGTGGGGGGAGTGGACTGTGGGGGGAGAGCTGAG